TTATATAGCATACACACACACACACACACACACACACACACACACACACACACACGCACACACACACACACACACGTGTATGTGTGTGTGTGTGTCTACTATATAATACTTTACATCCATCATACACGTGTATTTACACGTGTATGTGTGTGTGTGTGTGTGTGTGTGTTTGTGTGTGTGTGTGTGCGCGCATGTGTGTGCGTATGTGCTTGTGTGTGAAAATCAAATATTCACACACACATTATTTATGTATATATATATATATATATATATACACACACACAAACACACACACACACCCTCACACACATTTTAATTTTTTTTCACCAACTTTTTATACTGTAACTTGAACAACTACGGTATTATCCTTGACTTCTGATTTTATAACATACGTAGTAATATGAGGCAATTAAACATTTATATGATTTCCCAGTCATCAAACATTTGGAGTCAGTAATGTTGACACCTTTCATCACATTTATTCCACAAATGAACCAAACAAAAGTCATCCATTTGTCTTCACCCCCCCCCCGCCCCCCATATATCATTGTTCATTGAAAGTCAAGACATAGCCCAAGCTCTCAAGACTTAACAAAACAACAACAAAAGAAAAAGAAATCAATTACTATCTATTACCCAGTAAAGCATCTTTTATACAGTATCAGATTTGATTTGGCTCCTGTTTGTGCGACATGATCAAAACTCCAGAATACAGTAAATTTTTTTTCTCATGTTTCTTGGAAACTCAGTTCGGAGGGAGTGGGGGTCGGGTCATAATAAGCACTTTAATTACATAGAAAGTATTTCCCACGGTAATAATGACAGATAACGTAACCCATCCTTCTTCAAACCTTCCTATTTACAGGAATATTTTTTTTAACACTGTTACCATGTAAATCACAGATGAGTTGGCCTTATCACAGGTTTGAGTCCTGCTGCATTGTGATGGGGACATTTCAAAGCTGGCAATAATGGAGCAGAAAAATAAAGTCATTTGACATATACAATAGCCCACATCGTCACTCTACAAGAGAATACGTTTACTTTTAACTCTGAAGCTTGGCCAGGGAGTCCAAATCTGCACCTGGCCAAATAGCCTTGACTCTCGAAAGGCATCGCACGACGACAGATACACACTCAATAATGAGATCGAAACTTTCTGAGGTATTCTGGGATTAAAACGGTCACACTTCAGTGACCCTTATTTCGAAAGCCTCAGAGAGCTCCAATCCCAGGAAATAAATTAACAAGCGCCAGGAGAATTTACATTTTCACTCAGGCAGACATTTCAAATTGCACATGAAAAAAGGCAGCGTTACAGATGTTGCTTCAAATAAACTTAAATGGTATGGAGCAACGTAAAAGAAAGCTTGAATGGGAGAGTAACTGTAAAAACACGTAAATCTATGCCCTTTTAAAGCACTTGAGTAGAAAAGACTCAAGCCATGCTGTGTAAGTAAAATACACACACCAACATAACTGCCCATGACACACGTTGAAAGACAAAACAGTACATGTATACACCCTGATTGTATTATTCTATACTTTCCTCCACACCCAATGGCATTACCAGGGACGTAGCAATATCATTTCAAATAAGCCGAACTGGCTTAATTGAAACCTCTCTTTCCCAGCTACCCACACAGCCAAACTTTTCATGCACTCATTTGGTCATGAACTCGCTCCCATCCACGCACGGGCACACACAGCCTACATCCAGTGTTCTCCGTTAGACTTATGTTGTGTAACTCAGTGGTTGGCTTCACAAAAGCTGCAGCATTTCCTATTTAAAACAAGGTAAATGTGGTGCAACGTTTAACAAAGGACTCCCAACGTTTCTAAATGAGGCACAATCCGAGAGCTGGAAAAACAACCAAAAAAAAAAAAAACGTTCTAACTTTTCCTTTGGGAATAATTTCATTGATGGCTACATCGCTGATTCCTTTTTCTAGCCATACAGGCAACACCTGATCAGTGATACTTGCCAAATGGTGGCTTCATATTTCAAACCAAATGGGTGAAATGACAAAATCGAGGTCTTTACAAAGGCTATTTCACAAATATACCTTGTCTGAGCTGGTTCTTCAGTCACCACACTGATAGTCAAGCTATGTCTATAACAAATACACGATAATAAACAGGCTCTTTTATTTCTGTTGTATATATTAAAAGCTCTAAGAAAGGCAGCAAAGATGCACAATAAGGCAGATCCATATGACACAATTGGTGGAGCACGCTCAACTCTGGCTCATTTACACAACAGGTGGGATGGATCGTTTAAAGGGCTTCACTTTCTTTGTCTATAGTGGTTCTGTGAGAATAGGAAGAAAAAAAGTTGGCAAATGAGTGGTGAAAGAATTTACTCCCTTGAAAACAATTCAAGAAGTTGTGGTGTGGTTTTGAATTCGATTTTTTTCCCTAATGTAATATGACGGGAGTAGAAGAGTGATTGTCGAAACTGTTTTGCCCAAAAGGCTTTGAGTCAAAAGTCAAAACAAATTGCCCTTGCAGATTTTTGTGGTAATGCAGAAATGATGGACCGTACTACTTGATTAGAATTTTCAATACAAAAATATTCTCATGAAAACGTGGACTGCATTGACATTTTGATGAAATGAATAGTGATGGAAAAGTGGAATAAGACATCGCAAGCATTCTTAAAGTTGATGGCAGCTGCTTGTGTGTGAATGACACTCAAGCTATTCAAATCAATATTCAACATCATGGAACATGTCACTCAACTTATAAGCACTTGATAATGTGTTTACATGACAACGTATCACCCCCGAAAGTTTCTGTAAAGACGTTCATGTGTGTCAATGTGTTTGTACAATCTTAATCAGGAGGAGTACTGCACATATGAACTTGTAAAATATCTTATTCCAGTTGTCACTGCACCACCTTCTGCGATCGTGAGCTGGGGACACCAGCAACATGGAGCATGTGATCATGAAAACCCCTTCAGATGTTTCAGATCGTTCGTCTCGTTGGATTTGTTGGAAATGATGTCCTGTCCGTCCTGCATGGCTGCTAAGACAAGTAGCAGTGGGACCCCTCCTTCTTCGGCCGTGAAAATGTGTCCCAGCCTCATTATCGGACCACCCAAAAAAATCTTCATGAGCCTGAAGACGGGCTACTGGTGTCACTGGCCGTGCCCCCCTTCACAATCGTCCAGGCAGCCGTTAAGGCAGAGGTGGTCACTCCCGAAAGCGCCCTGGGACTGCAGTAGCTCATATTCCTGGTCCAAGAAGTCTAGGCTGTTGTTGCTAGGCAATCCCCGGATGGTGAACTTGTGGGACACTTTGGTCCACTGCTCTCGATTTGCCGCCACCCTCTCGTAGAGCTCAGTGGCCCCGGGAAGTAGTTCAGACAGCAGCCTAATAGAACACAATTTTTAAGATGTCAGTTTCAGAGGTAAGTAGCCCCCCACCCCCCTCCGCCCCGCATAAAAAAAGTCTATGCAATAACGAACTGATTTGACGGTGGGTAATCTTACCTACGAACGGACTAACTTTGCAGGTATGGTGCCACCTGCTATAAATGTATTTGGCCACTTGAGGGCAGCAACATTTAAATACAAAATCCATCTGATCATGAAGCCGATATGCTTCAGGTGTTGGCAGATGGTGGCTGGATAACAGTCAACATTGATTCTCTTTTTCAGTCCCTTCTGCCAGGCTCTGAGGAAATTATCCAGACATTTGGCAATAAACGCGCTACTGTGTTCACATTTACCTTTGGCTCTAGCTTGGTACTGGGGAGCGAGATGCCGTGCGTTGCTTTATTAATTTTGTTTCACTGATCTCCCATAATATTTATCATCTAGAAATGCCTGTTTGTACACAACCACAATGCAACTCAATTGATAACCTTTGGAGGGTAGAAACAATGGATGTATGGATAAAGTACAACGCGATTTCTGTTTTGGTGGAGATTCCAGCGTTCTGTTCGGTACATACTTGTAAATGGGCATGGCGATATGCTCCATGAAGCTGATCTGTAGTTCTGGAATGTATGCTTTTTCCCTGTCCATCATCTCACTGGGCCTGTTCCCCATGGCTTTTTCCTACACGTACACACAATCAAAATTTCTTGTATTCATCACAGATCTGAGAAACACTTAATAAATATGTTAAATTGCTTATTCTACAGTCTCTTGGCACATACCAGATCTCCTTGAGAGAAGAACTCTTTGTAGATAAGTTCCTGTAGACAAAGCAGAGTGACGTGTCATTGTTCATTCAGCACTGTTACAAATCAGATATTTGAGTGATTTTTTCACTCCACTATGATAGCAACAAGCAGATGCGCTTTACATCGATACAGTACATGCATTACAAATGAACAAGAAAAAAGAACTGACGGCAATCTTGCGTGTGGTTTTCCAGCCCTTGGTTTGGTCTGACAGGTCACATGATGTCATCAGCAGGCACAGCAGCATGGAGCGGTGGGTACTGCTCTTTGGATCATAGCCATCTGAAGCCATCGACACACACACACACACACACACACACACACACACACACACACACACACACACACACACACACACACACACACACACACACACACACACACACACACACACACACACACACACACACACACAAAGTCACCATGTTATTTCAAATGTAACATTCAAATGAGATTGAGCAAATTTGTAAAATTGCAAATTCCGTTTATTCATCTCTCACTCATGCTTTGAAGGACAGGACCGTGCAGTGTTACCTGAGTGCATTAAAAAAATGTCCGAATAGGAACTGTACTCCTCGGCGCACGTCCATGACTGACGGGCACTCAGTCAAAATTTTTAATGTCCTTGAATTGCTGAAGTAGCTCAAAATAGGCTCCATTTTGTCAACATTCAGCCAGAATGACTTTTAATTGATTGCATTCACTCGTAACACAACACTGGTCAAGAGGTAATAGCCAATTATATTATGCAAAAACACAATAAGTGACTGGCTCCTCAAGTAAAAATTCATTGGAATGGTAAAGGTTCTTTCAACTGTATTAATTTGGGATGTAATATATTTTAAAAAAATCATTTCCAACATACACTTACTGCAAAATGTACCTTTGTAGGTGATCTGGTTATGAAGTGGTTTTTTTTATAATAAATCAGATACAGTCTCGGAAAACAGGTTCACTTTGACAATTAATTAAAAGGTAAAAAAAATAATTGATGGTGATAATGTCCCATCTCCCACCGTCTGGTACCCACCATCAGCCATCTTCTGTAGGTCTTTGAATATGCGAAGGTGATGAGCCAGGTCTGTGGCCAGAATGATTTCCCTCATCAAGTCTAGCATTCGTTGGTAATCCTAAAATCAGCAAAATAGAGTTAATAAAAGTGCGAACAGAAACATGTAAATGCAATTGTTTAGATGGCACCTTTCGTGAAAACTTCTCAAAAATGTTGCAGCCTTGGGTGTTCAGAATGGCGATGGCCTGGGCAAAATGATGTCTCTGTCAGGGGGGTAAAAAATACAAATGAATGAGTCTGGAAAGAATTTGACTGTCATAAAAAGATGAATGAGATGACTTAAAAAGAAGAAAAAGAAAAGGAATAAAAAACCTACAGCTGTAGAAAGTGAAGGTTTTGACTACGAGGTGTCACGAAATGCACGATAACACGACAGTCAATTGACCATGTTCGACATCGCGTTTCTGAATTATTTTACCCACTAGAAATGATGCAAATTATCCTACTCTATGCCAATTACCATACACGCAGTATTTTAAATAACATTTTATCATGGTTAACATGACAAGTAAAAACAATAACACATACAAAAATCATGAACTGTTTTGAAAAGAGCAGAAGCCGCCTTGTTTCGTCTCCTCCTGTTCATTCGAGTTTTGAATTGTCGTTCCATTTCCACCTTTCACAAAATCTTAGGACCAATTTAGACGTTTTCTGAGGCTTGACTGTACTGTAAAGCAATGGAAGCTAATACTACTATATAGCATGTACAGTACTGCGACATGGCGCCATATCACACATTCCGGCTATTGGGTGTCTCTCACTGCACGTTTACCTCCATCACAGATCCCTCTGAGCTGTAGAGAGCAGCCAGCACAGATTGCTGAAAGTAGAGACGGTCGACAAATGAAACACAGCCTTCACACACACACACTTCTTATTTCTACTCCCGCTCTTAGCCTCGAAGTTGAGTTGCATTACAAAACTTCATTCTATGACTGATGCTCGGGAGGCCGACTCCTTTTAACCCACCGTGTGCGTCACCGCATCGACTGTTCTAGCGGATATACTGTACTCGTATGTTCTCACCGAGGCCACTTGAAAGGAATTGTTGGTGCCACGATGGTCCAGGTCATGGCACAGACAGGAGACAAAGAGAGCTAAAATCTCTATATCCCTAAAAAATGAGAGCAGAGGAAATAGATTATTCACCATGGCCAACAAGTGGCGCCACTGTCAAGACTTATTCGGGATCAGGGTTGGAGACTCACTCGAGGTAGTTGGACAGGCCAAGGTTTTTACAGAGCAGGTAGCAGAAGTGGGAGACGGAGAATGCGTGCATCCAGTTGTGGTATGGCGGGTCCCTGTAGCCTTTCTTGACCATTAGACAAAACCTAACCAAAGGGGTCAAACAGCAGTTCAGAAAAATCAGTGTTGGTCTCCATTTAGGATTAAAAAGTCTAGATTTTTTTGATGGGATACTTTTCCCCATAGTTGATTAAGGAAACAGAGTCAAATACTGTATCAGTACATGAGACCTGGCCAAAATCTAATGATTTTAAGTTTTAAACCTCTTAGGTATAATTATGCACGAAGGCATGACGTTAGGAGAGAAAATACATTATAGTTAGGTGAAAAAGAAACAAAACTGCATGCAAATAAACATTTGCAGTGCCACAAGTAATGCATTTTGGACTGCTGAGAATATCAGACCTGGCAAGAGTCTGACGGTCGATCTTGTACGTGTTGATGAAACCCATGTCTTCAAACATGCTGAGGACACACTGCAGACACACACGGGAAAATCGGTTGCTGCGCAATCGTTCATCCCTTCCACTTCTTCCATACATCTTGCCTCATACGGTCTATTGCTCTCCATGTCCAAGACTCCCTCGGCTTACCATAGGTGTGGTCTCATCAGGTAGCGAGCGCGGGGTGTAGGTGAACTCAGCAAAGCAAGGGTGGATCTTCTTGACCGGCTCGATCCCTACAACCAGCAGCTTACACACCTCATCCTCTGAAAGCTGTAGCATACACACACTGAATGAGGCTGCGTACAAAGCAACCAAGATTCAAACCAATGTTCCCGCGAGTGAGTAAGAACCATGCGATTTAAGTTTACCTTCATGTGGTACTTCATCATTTCGTTGGCCAGGTGAGATCTGAACTGAGCTTCGTGAACCTTCTTGTAGAGCAAAGACTAAGGGCACAGCAAACAGTTGCATACATTGCTTAGGAATACATTTGTTTAAATAGTTGCGATTCCCCAAATTTATCACAATACAGTCGACCACCACTATTCCACTATATCCAAAAACATGTTTCACAGACTCCACGTTTGTATTTTGCAGGCGTTGGGGAGCCTTCTTGCCCCTTTGGGACATAGGCTGCTGGGTACACCTTAGATCCCTGGCAAAAATGGAGAATGGTGGGCTTGACAATATTGTCCGTAGAAGATGTGGAAGACATCTACGTCATTGGCCTTTTGATAACAGGTATCCTGCTGTTTGGCGTTAGCAGTTTCCTGATCTATCGCAAAATCCAGCCGGTGGGGGCAGCTTCATTGGGAGGGAACAAGCTGGCGACCTACATGGATGATCAACACTCAAGACTCATGCGTTGACCGAACTCAACCGCAAAGTGGATATGGTGTGGAGTCGCTTCGCAAAATGGAAAAGACCGAGAGTAGTCGTACCGTCCTGGATAATTGATTGACTGGCTGATCAAGATTTCTGGCAAATTGACACCACGGAGAGTCACATGCTGAAGGACTTTCAAGGCTGTCTGAAATTGCTGAGGCCCTGTACCCGAAACAGCTGTTATCCGGACTTTCCCTGGATGGAAAAAAACACATGGACGCGAGTCCTATCTCCCTATTTTCCTCTCCTGACTCCCCACAGCCTGCGACTGATAATCGCTTGGCCTTGCAGCTGCGGGGACAATGTCAAAGTCTTTGCTGTACAGTATTCATGTTAAGTCTTGAGAATCATTGTACTGTGCTTTTAAATATACGCTACATGTGCTGAGGGTTTTTTTTTTTTCCCTCTGGCTCAAACCATCCTGCCATTGAGGAGAATGGAGTCAATCATAGTAAACAAAGCCATCTCACATTTAGTAGATGACTGAATCCACCTTTGCAAATCCAAATTGCAGGCTGCTTATATTTCACTGCAGTCCTCGACATGGTAGCTTTTGATGAGTAATGCAGCTGGTCTTGCTTTAATTGTTAAATGAACTGCCTGGAGGGCAACCATTTGTCAAATAAAAGAATCCTACAGTTTGACAAACTATCAAATATCTGCAGTCATTAAAAGTCATATGCTGGAAACGTTTGGAATGAGGTTGGAACTAGTAAATCCATTTTTACAACATTTAAAGCCATTGATGTAAAAAGGGTGCTTTCATCATAACTAGGAAACTATAAATTTATACAGCTTCATCTCAATAAATTTGAATATTGTGGAACACTTAATTTATTTCAATAGTTCAATAAAAAAAACTAAACGGAGATTAAAGGAATTTCACTTGTTGAATTGAACTACTGAAATACATTAAGTTTGACCTAATTCATGGTGGCACGGCAGCTGACTGGTTCGCACATCCGTCTCAGAGGTTGGGAGTTTGAATCCGATTGAATTGGGGCGATGCAGCAAATGTTCTATTTTTAAAAAAAAAAAAACTTCCATATTCTCAAATTGTCGCCTAAGTAGCTTTTCTGTGATAATCCTTCCTACCGCAAACTCTGTATTAACAATCTTTTGTCAACTACATCAGATTGGGTTGAATGGGCTCGCGGCAGTGCCACAAAGCCTCTGTGCTACAACATAAAAGCAGCTTGCTTCTATCACGTACAGGAATCTCCTCCAATTTCCCCGGAGACCTTCGTTCTCTCTGTACTCTGACTCGACTCACATTTTTGTTCCCTCTTGAGCTATCGCACGCTTGTCAGACAATATCAATGTTCTCAGGTGCACTATGTACTAATTTACACCTATAATCAAGGTGAAGGTGTAATTACGGCCGAATTATTTCCTTAATCATCCAGTCAATCAAAAGAGGATATGAGTAATTTGAAATATGAATCCAAATCCCACTAACAGTTAGGTAAATAAATGGATGGGTGAGAAGAGACTTACGTGGGCAATACTGATTCCACAGTAGATGGAAAAAGCTGTGGCCAGATCCTCATCAAAGCGGTTGAACCACGGCCCGTTCATTTTATTCACCAGCTCAGCAACCCCGATCACCTCTGGGGAATATCAAGGTGGATTACAAATAGATGAAAGTCAGATAATGAAGATGAATATGAGGAAGAACATGAGACTGACAGAAAGACAGCAACGCCAAGTCACTGCACTCTTATCTCCCAACAACGCAGGGAAACTGTCCACACACCTAACTAAAATCTTGTCGAAAGTCTTTCTAGAATCTGTGATGCTGTTATACTGTAGCTATAAAAAGATAACACAATGTATATCTTGTCTTCTTGGTACATCCCTGTGCATGTTTTGGTCTGTTATAGTATACATAAATATGTTGATATTCTGCCCGGTATGTTTTAAGATGGGGCGGCCCGGTAGTCGAGTGGTTAGTGTGTCGACTTCACAGTGCAGAGGTGCAGGGTTCGATTCCAGCTCCGGCCTTCCTGTGAGTTTGCATGTTCTCCCCGTGCCTGCGTGGGTTTTCTCCGGGTACTCCGGTTTCCTCCCACATTCCAAAAACATGCATGGCAGGTTAATGGAACACTCTAAATTGTCCCGAGGTGTCAGTGTAAGGGCAGATGGTTTTTCGTCTTTATGTCCCTTGCGATTGCTTGGGCAACCAGTTCAGGGTGTCCCCCGCCTACTGCTTGAAGACGGCTCAGATAGGCTCGAGCATGCCCCGCGACCCTTGTGAGGATAAGCGGATCAGAAAATGGATGGGTGGATGTTTAAGATGGGTATTGGGTATCTGGACCGAACCACCTGTACCTAGAAAAACATGGACAGGTCTATCTTAGTTTTCTCCCTAGAGTGACATGAGGCCGATGAGAACAGGTAAATTGTTCTGTCACTATGGAAAATATTGCAACCTTTGGATTATAACGTTTCCAAAGTGCTAGCAAAGCTATCCTGGAAGTGCACCTGTGCAGGGACATGTACTCTCTGCTATTTTTAAGAGATTTCCAAGTCACATTAAGACTGCCAACATTGATCTTACCGTTGGTCTCATCTTTGATGGGGAAGCAGAGGATGTTGCGAGTTCTGAAACCGGTACTGTCGTCCACACCACGGTAGAAAAGAGGATGGGAGTAGGCGTCCTTAATGTTCAGAATTTGACCTGTGGTCGCCACGTGACCTGCGATGCCTTGATCTGCTGGGATACGGAATTCCTTCTGCACACACGGAAATGCGTAATACAAATACCCCCATGTAAGTTTGTGTTACATTTCTTCTTTGCATTGTAGCAACAAGGTCCAACATGTCTGGTGCTGTCAGCAAGCACCAACACAATCAAAGTGGTGACTTGATCATTCACATGACACCTGTCAAGTCTTATGTATCAAGATCTTATCTTTTTTCCCCCCCGAGTGTAGTCGCACACGTTGTAGGTCACATTGATGGTGTCAAAAAGTTTTGAAAGCTGACAACTGAATAAAGGTGTGGAGACCCTTTATGTCCACATTTCTATACATCTGACTTGGGTCAGTTGGGTCAAATGTAGGAGTCGCATTTAATGCATGTCTGAATGTGTTTGTAAGAATCAAACTTTTCAGTGATTTTGAGGTTAGATGCTTAAAATCGCAAAAACAAAAAAACAACAACACAAAAAAAACCAAACAAAGTGGATCATAACCGCGAGTTTGAAAATGGCAGCAGAATGTCGACATACCTCCTCATCACTAACCACACCACCGTCAAACACCTTGGCCACTAACTCGTGGCTATGGCGATCCAGCAGGAACACTGAACAGCTGAAAAGACACACTGAAATGTTTAGACTGAGACAATCAGCACAGTGCAAAGCCCTCCAAATGACATTCATTTTATTTCATCGCAGGTCACCGTGAACCCTCATTAAAAGAGGCAAGATAGCATTTTGCAAAGGGAAATGAAGACATTCACACTGCAACCCCCACACGCTGACTTACATCTCTGCACCACTGAGGTTCCTGGCCTCCACTATAATTTCCTGTAGGAGCACGGACACATCATCTGAAAGTATAAAAGAGATGGGAATAAAAATAAAACGGGGGGGGGGGGGAATTACAGTAGTTAAAGGACTAGCTAGACAAAGACAGATAGAACCACGAGTAACGGTGATTCTTTAATACAATCAGATAAAAGCTTTATTGTGAACAGTGCTCTATCCAAAGAGGTGCTGATTGTTTCACACGCAGATTGATCTAATCTGCTCGAGCAGCAATCATGATGGCTCAGCAAAGAGTAATTGTACTGAGGGTGCCTACTGTTCAAGACAAGCCTTCACTTTTAAATGCCGTTGTTATTTTATGGCTCCGGGTCTTAACGCCTTTGGCATCTTTAATATTTTCCTACATTACACGCACCATGAGTTTCTTTAGGCGATCAATTATATATATTATGTATCGGGCAAAAACAATAAATGTTCTGCCACGTCCGCTGTCACCGCAGACAAGAAACAGACAGGAAGACAGAACAACATCATACCCAAGTGTGTGAAGAGGTTCTTGGCCACTTGCAAGAGTGCCTATGTGGATGAAAAAAGTGTACATAAAAAGCTTTTTGAATGAAATGCTCATGTTGTGTGAAATGAAAGCATGCAAACAGAATGGGTGTATCGGCACATTACCTGGCACTCTACTTTCAGCTTCTGTTCCTTCTGGAAGGCCAAAGTTGAGGTGAGGACCGTTGAAGTGTAGCAGAAACAGTGCTGGATGGCGTGTTCATCGGCCTCTGTGTGTCTGTGGGGAACAGGTGACTCTGTTCTTGCATGCACTTTTACTACAGCCAATAAAGAGGATCAAGGACTCAGAGCTGAATCAAACAAAACAATGCTCAGTTTTTCTATACTCCCATAGAGGTGTTAATTCAGCAGTCTAGTTATTTGTATGCTTCTAAGTACGGCCTAAATATATGTCGGTATTAATAGATTGATGAAGGAATGTGGGCACAGGAGAAAATATTTCCAAGACAAAATCTGCGGCAAATTTCAATAGTTTCAGTCGAAATACGTCAGCTTGCTTACTCGTGTGATTTTATGTCTGATCACGTCACAATATATAACAGGCAAATGAAAATTTGCTAACAGATGCTGACCTCTGAGATCATTGCCTGCAGTTGTCTCTTCCTGTCAAGAGAGGGCAGTGGAACATTAGCGGGCAATTGTGCGATTTAAAGAATACCTCCCAGGGCTTTCTTGCCCTTGGCTGACTGAGCCTTGTGGGAAACCTGCAAAGGAGGCAGGAATCATATCTAGCCTCAAAAAGGCCTCCAAACACGTGAAATCAAGTTCACTCCCACTATAGCCCTCTGTGACGGATGTTCAATCGAACACCAGGCTGTAGTCTTGGGTCTCTCTCTTTCCCTTTTTTTTTTCTTAAATTAAAAAGTATCGGCTTGTTCTTTCCTATGAAGAAAATAGCCTTAAAGTACATGGAAAGGTTTAAAGACCGGCGGGACTCCGCTTCAAAAGACCAGAAGTCACAGTTGCGCACAAGGAAAATGGCACACAGAGATCATACAACGTACAATTAGAGATAGATGCCTGCTACGGCGCTCCCATAGGCTTTCTGTAAGGGTTGTGAATCTCTCTTTGTAATTACTAACCAAGGTTGGTCTGCAACACCAATTACAAAAGCTCAAAACTCAAGAAGATGACAGTTCATTGAGGGCGTGAACGTGAAATGTTGTCCGTCTCCATATGGGGAGACCACCAGTCAAAGGTGTCGTCCGTCTTTCATGTGGAGTCAGCTGGGATAGACTCCACCTCCCTGCGACCTTGAACATGATAAGCGGTATAGAAAATGGAAAGATGTTGAGTGTGTGAGAAAAGGTTCCGCATCCTGTGAGTGCAGTTACTGCCACAATCCTGCGGCTGTTACTATAGTAATGAGCTACCAAGAAAGCAAAGGACATGATTTTTTTTTTTTTTTCCCCCAGCTTACGCAGGCTGCAGAGCGAGGGTGCTTTCAAAAGATAAGCACTGTACCCAAGTGCATGGATACGTGATGTTGGTGAATGTGCAGGAAGAACAGACAGAGACCTGAAGACACCGATATAGATGGCAGACAAAGCTGGCACCAGGGAGAGGTCAGATTCCTGCCAATTACACGTACGCACACAAGAAGTGAGCTGACATATCGCCCGCAGCTTGATACAGTCGATTGATGTGGGCTGTGGGGTGTATCCTGCTGGCTTGGGGGATTAATAGAAACAGCAGTGAAAAGATCAATTGAAAGAATGATTGATCTGTTTGCCATGCCAGTAAGGTTGAAAATCCTGCAAAAGTTTCAAAATGGGAAACTTCCTACGGAAATGTCGGTGAATGTTTGGGAATTTCCAGGAATTAAGGGGAACAAAAAGGGAACCTGGTGTGTTTGATTGTGAACTTGCCCAGCTGTTCATATCAGATCCAGAAGGTGAGGACTTGGATGGATTCGATAGTCGGGAGCAATAAAAAAATAAAGTGAGTACATTGTTAAATACCTCAATAAACTACAACCAAACTACCGCTGCCTTTTCAAAAACATACGCTAGTGTGCATGCGTGCTCCCGTATTGTTTAAGCGAGCGTATGTTTTAACCACGCGTGCGTCCAATAATACAATGCCTCATGTGTATGTGTTCAAATAGCACCCGCGACTGACACTACGCCTTTTAATACGGTGCGCCGTATGGTCGAAGGCGACCCTTCATGTAGGCCGCTGTCAAATTAACGTTGGAATGTTTCATGAGAACGCATGAATTTGAATGCATAAGAATCACACGCAGAGTAATTAGACCTTGAATGAAAAATGTGAGTCACTCACAAACATACCTCTGTCCACCCTGCTTGTTGAAGGCGCATGCCAGAGCCACCACTTGGCCCGTAGCCCTGCTCACAACTGGGACACACAGCATGGAGGAGATCTCACAGGCCAACATACTGCACAGCTGCCTGCGCTCCTCCTGACGGGCAGGGAGATTGGCTCAGTGTGCACATAGAATGAACACGGAAACTGAGAGATAGACAGACAGATCACTGAAAAAAAAACAGGCTTGGATACTTTGGATTTACTTCATTCAGACATGTACATTGTTGCACGTGATTAAAATGTAAGAAACTTCCATTTGAGGGGGGGGGGGGGGGGGAGCAGAAAATTCCATCAGTTGACCACGTTTTAATCACGTGCAACTGAAAGTTACGTTTTTTTTTTTCAATGTGGGAAAAGAGATGATTTAACTTACAGCACTGATGTCGCGAAGAGTTATTGACCTTTTCTTCTCGACAACCTGACCAAAACGTCCAAACATCAGCTGTACACAAGAGAGCAAATGATCAGTAGAGTGAAAGGTTACCTATTCAGTTCAATAATTGGGCATTAAGTCCAAAGAAATGGTGCATTGTCAAAATGACACCAAAGTGGTTGGGCACCAAAATCAACCTGTTTTTACATCGTCGGTCACTAGAAGAACAAAATCGGTCATTATCTAATGTACTTTTGAGACGATGATGAGTAATAAGTAGTTCTATAATTCACAATCAACTGCATCATGTGCAATTTCTGAGCATATTTCAATTGTGTCATGTTTTCGGACGACACAAGATTTCACTCGACTCACTAACTGGCAAACATGATTGCGGGTCTCACCGAGAAACTGATTTCCTCCTCCAGAACTTTGTCTCCGACTACCTAAAGATCACAGAAGTATGGGGCCACAAGACATTACAGGAATTCAATAGTAGTTCATAATGTTTGAGGCTAATCACAAAGAGGCACTGTTGACGTTGCATATTTGGCTTCTGAATGTACCTGGCAGAAAAGCTGGTGGTTGTCCTCAGACACTAACAGCAGACAACAACACTGTGACTGAGTCTGCTGCTGCAGCTATGTGGACACAAACACACGTGAGAAATATTGATAAGGACTCACACGGCAATGTGTTTGGTAGACCTATAAAACATAAAATGCATGATCAGGTTCAATTCATGACTGTTTGACTGATTGATTTTCCTCTTACACTAAAGGTCATTTGATTAGCTGTGGAAAGTTTCGGATAAATTGAGCTCTTAATAAACTACTTACAGGAGATTCTGCCTTTATAAAGATAATCATGCTGGACAAGAGCTGTTAACAGCACTTTGTATGATGCAATTATAAAACATCCGACAGTGTCAGTAAAAACAACTGGGCGGTCATCTCTTTGTTATGTCAAAACCTTTGATGCGTATGTAATGGCAATTTGAACATTAACAGTGCTAAATGGAAGTAACTGTTCGTACTATTGAATGCTGACCGTACCTTTGAATGCTGACCAGTTATTTTGCGGATAAGCAAAGTTGCCTGCACATGCACTAGTCTGTACTCTGCTCAAAATGCTGACCTTCACCAACCCCCAACAAGATAAAATGAGAGCGCAAGACGCAGAGGGGGTGAAGGCTCCCTTGACAGATGTGTGAACGGTGTCCCTCCATGTTTTTTTCTTTTCTTTTTCTTTCTTAAATAAATCTCATCATTTTTTTATAAATACTTTCGTTGTCTTGGTTTCCCTGGACAAAACACGTATCTTGTATCGTAGCGATGTGCAGTAGCGGGTTGCCGGTTACCGGGTTGTAATCATGTGTAGTCCAGTGCAGGTATTACAAAAATGACACGAGTGTACCTAAGGTGGTTGCAGACAGTATTTTGGGTACACATGTACATCAGTGCACATGCTGTATGCGCATGCATCCACCCACACACTTCGGTATCAAAATAGCAGTGCTTCTTCACACTCCTGTAATCCACCAAGATGGCTGCAGGACAAGATTAAAAACCAGCCACAGCCAACATACTCATCCCCCATTGACACACAATTGTACATACCCGCATATAAAAGGCCCCTTCACCCCATTTTCCCAAATACTTTAATCCAATGAGAAACACCCCAAGCTCCACCCACTATATAGGTCATTCGTTGCAATTTTCTGCAACTTCTTCTTTATATCCTTCTGGGTCCTCTCTTGCCCATTTTATTAAAAAATTAAAATACAACAACAACTATTTGACCCAAACCCGGTTGTATTCTTCCACTTGTGATCTTTAGCATCACTGCACACCTCTGTAGACCATGTGACTTTCTCCTCCCGTCACTCCTTTAAAACCCAGGTTTGTAGTTCATTTAAATTGCCAGCTTTCAGCCCACCAATCAATCACCTTTCTTTGTTTGTATTTGTTTCACTACAGCTGATATGCAGGCATGGATTTGATCAGCAGGTTAGCAACAACATTGTAAGCGTTATCGTGACAAATTGTGGTGCCGATAGGCAGCAGACACTTGAAAGGTTTTCTCGTTTGGCAGGTATAGTGTGTATGCATGTGGGAGTGCATGACTGAAGTCAAACACTTACATAATTGATGACTTTGAGCTGGAGAGACGCTGCATCAAGGTCATAAAGCTCACCTAAAAGATAGGGCAGAGCGAGAGAGTGATGACTGTGAAACAGAGAGGAGCCACGGTACAAAAAAAAAAAAAAGAAAAGTCCGAGGCAGGGATGCAGAACATGTACGCGGGTTGGACAGAAAGCAATCCCCAGAGAGATGCTTTGTGACAGAGGGGTCAGGGAGCGGTGAACGCGAACCAGCGAACAGATACTGGAATAATGAAGACAAGACAAGTGAAGACTGCAAGGAAGGAGGAACTGAAGGTTTGACAGAGAAGAGGCAAGACAAAATGCAGAGACGGGCAGACGCTGAGAGAACCCAAGGCAGCTTTCATTTGTTGCCAATTACAAACCGGTAAATAAAGCTTACATACGCTCGTGTATCCGGCAGCAGCATTATCAAGCTCCATTATGCGTAAGGTTATAAACATTGACAAAGCAATGCATTCCGTTTTCACCCTAGCTGCCACACATTCCCGAAATGCCAACGAGTCTATCAAAATTCATTGATCTCTTCATCAGCATGTCACACGCTATTAACATTGCCTACCTCACTCTATGTGGATGCGTGCGTTTACATACCACAAAGTTGAAGGATGTTGCGGTCCAACTCGCTGTAGTCCTGGTCGGAGACGTCGAGGTGCAGCAGTGCATTGTGGGACTGAATGGGTGAGGGGCTGAGTGGGGGTCTCTGGTAGGACGCCTGAACAAGCTGGACGCGGACGCATGCCACAGAGGCCTGCGATGCCACACAAAATAATTAAAAAAAAACACACCAATGAGCACATATGCTTTCCACACCAATATCAAAAGGTCGGTCGAGGAATTTTCCGAGGAGATGGAAAATTGCTTTACGGGTTCATAAAGCATACACAAGGTTTAGGCTTGTTTATATGAAGAATGTGCGTCATGGAAAAAAAAAAGGTCAAAACAAGAGATAATGCTGTTATGATGAACATACATGTTTTTCCAGCATAGTAAGATGAACTTCATCTTGATCTGAGAGAGCACTACAGCCCACCTGCAAAACACACACACACACACACACACACACACACACACACAGATAAGGGAAGAACAACATCTAGTCGGATCTGGGGACATCATTTGATAGCAAATTTCTAACATCTCTTGGGACAATGCACCTATAGACATTGGTCTGCAATCACCATACTGTGTGCGGGTTTGTGTAAGCAAGGACTGACCAGTAAGACAGCAATGGCCTTGGTCCGCTCCTGGTCCAAGATAGGAATAACAACAGCTGAAAGAAAGAGCAAGCAAGGAAAGAAGGCAGGAGAGACAAAAGATATCTTAAGGCCTTAATTTAAATTCATTCTTTCACGCGCCCTTTCATTTCCCCTCCATGTCCTTGCCTTGCCTCACTCTTAATCTTTTTCTTTTCACCCAATTTGTTTTTCCTGTTGGGTGTGTGTGTGAATAGAACATGTAATATGAATTCAACAAGGACACAATAAACGCCCTTGCATAACACTTGTTATGATTATCATTGTAGAAAGAGCAGCAGCAGAAGCATATAACTAAAAGCAAAAAAAAAAAAAATATATATATATATATATTCATGATGGTGCAATTTTTCTGGACATGTGGGAAATATAACTACATTTTCTGTCTTTGGCTTCTCCTCACTTGGGCCACAGTTAAACATGTTATTTATCAATTCATTTTAATGCTTTGAAGTATTTATTGTTCTTTCTGTTCCCTAGCATCTTATCAAATGAACGTCCACTTCATGTCTGCTTTCGAACACACAATTAAAAAAAAAAATCCTTGTTTAATATTTTGCAATTCAAAAAAAGTCTATGCATGACATTCCATGTCGTTGGTTCCCATTTTGATCCTCTTATTTTTTTCCCCTTGTTCTTACATGTAATTTTCCTCCCACATACACAGGAGTACCCACATCCTCAAACAAGCACACTCACATCAAGATGTCCGCTAGAATCATTCGGAACCCTTTGGATAAAACACTAATCTTGTTTTACAGAGAATATATCAAGTCCATCCTTGGACATACATTTCATTGTGCACAGTTCTTCCCATATTTCTTCCCACCGCTACCTAGTTTCCCTAGAGAACATCCAGCAACGAGTGCCTTAACGTGCATTCTTTCAATTTCAGTGAACTCTTTTACCTTTTTGACAGGAAAGAGGAATTTCTAATTGAATTGAAACATGCCTGTGCACTTAGGGCACTTCTGGAATAAACCTTGCATTGATAAATTTGTGAAGCGCTGTATATCTATACATACCTCTTTGGTGTGCTTTAAGTGGGGCTGCGAGACAGATTTTGTATTTTTCTGGCAGTTCTGATGAGGGGAAGCCGGCACACTGACATCGCTTCAGCTGATCAACAACACTCCTGTTGCGGGAAGCACATTTGATTTAAGTTGGACAAATGCAGTTAACTCAGTGGACAGAGTGAAAAACAGAGATCCGAAGATCGACAAAGAACAGCAAGGGGCAAATTGAAAGTGCTTGCAGGAGAGAAAGAGCCAAACAATAAGCTCTGGTGACCCATTTGTGAAATGACATAAGATTGATGGAATTCTATGTGTCTATCGAGAAATAACAGTCTACTCCCTTCAAGAAGTACACACTGGAACCATGCGGTCAATTCCTTTATTTCTGTACAAACAAAAAAGATTTAGGTTTGACATCAAAAGATGTGACAAGCTCAACCGCATTTATATTGAGATCCATTGAACAACTTGAGGATTTGTTACAGCTTTTCCCCAAGCTACCTGTTTGGTGTCTGTTTCTTGGAACACCAGTGTTTTGGTTTGTTTTTTCTTCTTCAGGACACCCCAAATGCTGATATCGGGTATAGACAATGTTTTTGCACCGGTTCTGATTTTCCATCTTCTCTCACCTTGTTTTGGCACCCAGAGAAACGTCTCTCGTTTCTACCTTGGTTACACCCTCCAACTAGTATTGACGTAATGTTCACAGGCAAAGTTTCAATGTGAATCCGAAGCTGACTGTAAACATGAAGCTATTGTTGGAACATTGTTTTTGTGCTTCACTCCTTGCTACATGAATATGGAAATGAGTAATTAAAAAAAATGTCAGTCCACCCATGCACACAGGTAAATTCGTCATCTCTGTGCTTCATTTCATACCTCCTGAAATCTCCAGTGGTGACTCACACAAAAGGGCAAAAATAACCATTACAAAGTGTCTGCATTCTACTCCCGGCGTTGCAGCAAAATGTGTATGGTGCATTGACTTTTAAAATGGCCATTTATCTGGGCTCACTAAGGAATGGTGTGTTTTAGAAAAAAAGCATTATTGTTGCGGCTTACAAGGGTGGCAAAGGGGGCTGACCTTTACGTAGTGCCCATTTGCTTTACTGTATAATCACACAGGGTAAATACACACACGGGAGGGGGGAAAAAACAAATATAGTAGCTCCCATGGGTGGTCAGGAGAGGCCCAGGAACACCACCATAATTTAGCTGCCATGTAGCAATAAAGGGGATTTGACAGTAAAAAGGATGTTGGATTCCACCAAGCACAAACACTGAAGTGTCATGCTTCTGACGGCGGAGTCAAAGCTGGGGGTATCTACGCAGCATTGGTGTAATTTTAAATAATGATGCCATTTGTGATATGGCTAGTGTACTACACCATAGGATGAGTGCAAATGCAACTAATGCTGTGGCCTGTGAATGTGAGAGCCTTCTTCATGTCATCAGGGTGGTCGTAATGATATTGAATCCCTCCTAAATGTACATTGTGAACTTAATTAATAACCGCTCAGCCATCCATGAAACGCACGTAAGCACGCACTGAGGGTGTCTTAATGAGCATCAACATCTGAATCAATTGCTCCTAATCGGAATTGTTACGTAGCTTGAGCATGTTCTGCGCAGATTGTGATTAGTGAACTTGAAACAGATGGTCAGAGCTTCGTGAATCAATTTTTCTGCTTCGGCAAAAAAATTGTTTTTGTTCTCAATATAGCTAATATTTTTACCTCATGTAAGTCATGCTGCACTTAAAGTAAGAAATGCTTTCTTGGTATTTTTGAAGAGCTTTTCTGCTCAACGGTTGTCGTGTTTTAATAGACACATTTATTAATGCCACATTTATACTACATGTGCGGATCGATGACATATGATCGAAGGCAGGGGTCACAAACCTTTGTGAAACGGAGAGCTATTTCGTGGCTACTCATTAGTGTGCGCGGCTACCAGTTTAATCCCCACTCCTGAAATAAAGTATATTACCAAAATGAATGAAGCAGTGGCCGGTAACTCTTCTAGTTTTATATGGGTTCCACCTGACAACAGCCCACATATAAGAGTACCGATACTTATTTTTATCTGTATTTTTATCTGACTTTTATTTTAAAGCCCAATAATTATGATGGAGCCAGCCTGAGGTAACTTTCACTCTGTCAAGTGCTGAAAATTGCTGAAATTTCCCCAGACTTGGTAAGACATGAAATGATTATTTTGACAACTCCTGTGCCCAAAATGCCTGGCGAGCGACAGTTCTTGTTTGCGAGCATGATAAAAAGCAGCTGTCTGTCTGCCTGAAGAGCAGGTGACTTGATTAATGCGGATCACAAACTGTGAAAAAAGCCTGCAAAAATTGAACCCCTTTGTACAGCTTATTGTCACCGGTGTCGCGAATGTGCTCGAGCGCATCCCAGCTGACTATGGACAAGATTCAGCCTGCACCCTGAAGAAACAACCATTCACACTCACATTCTCACCAAAGGACAATTCAGAGTGGGAATAAACAACATGCAAAGTCCACACAGGAAGGCTGAGCCGGATTTGAACCCTGCACGTCAGCACTGTGAGGCGAACGTGCTAACCGGTCGACCTTTCATTTTTATTATTTTACTTTATTTTTTTTTAAATATTGTCCTTGTAGTTTGCAGTGCGATAGTAATACACAGCAGCATACTGAGAGGTGTTTCTGATATGTTTCACTCACTTGTGTAAGTAATTAAGGTATTGTATTGTAAACTGCAATCACATTAATTGAAAAAAGGTTGTGTTTATCTATACAAACATATCTGAATGTTGGCCCACGATGGATGGCTGAATGGGTTGATCCTCGACTTGTCTCCTTGTGGGACTGTGCCTGCATAAACACGCTTGTGTGAAATCACGTGTCACAAAGAGGTGTCATTAAAGGGTGGTATTGTCTGACAAAACGACAGTTTCATCAGGAACGTATTGTTGGCTTTTAGCAAGACATGGTGGTAGCAGGCAGCTTTAAGAGAGCACTTCAGACTTTAGATGGCATCGCCGGGCCTCTTTTGGAACTCGAGAATGCCGTTACCTCCTCTCACCCAGCGGTATTACAGCCACTGAAGATGAGGAAGTGGAGCTTCATGCAGGGGAAAGTGGAGTGATCACATCCAAACTTAGAAGGGTCAATATCACTGTGAAGAATCACTCAGTCATCATGAAAATGTAGCAGAATAATGACATTCTGAGGTCTTATTATCAGAGGCCAAACATTTGCACACATATCAGACCGGTCCAGAAAAGTCTGACAATGTGTTTCTTTCATTTGACACTGGCTTTACGGGTTTTTGGACGGGTCCCGCTTGACCAATATGCATTTTCACCCACACATCTATTCAAGGCAATGGTCATGAAGTTCAATGGCAAATCACACGTTTTTGGGGGTGAAACGAAGAAGTCTCAAAGGCACCTTATGGTGTTACTGACTCTTAATGTGCCTCATGGTTCCTTGGAGGGGAATTGGGTGCTCTGAGGGGAAAAAAGGGAAGGTGGAACCGCAGAGGTTGTCATGGCAGACTGAGCGGTATGAAGAGAGGCCAGCGTGTGATGTGATTGAGCGCCGAGCAGCTCATAATCATCCCTCTTCCCTCGCTTATTGCAATGCCTCTCAGGGCACCACCTCCCGTGACAAAACTGCAGCAAATCAGTGCACAGCAGTCAGCCACTCAAAAGCAAACCTGTGGCGTGCCGCACATATATGAAACAGACACAAAAACAACACGCACCTGATCTTGCCCTCCTGTGGCAGCTCGTGTGGCGGGTCGTCCGACAGCAGCCTCGAGTTTCCCTCCAGTGTGTACACACATACGCACTCCTAGAATGAAACAAACACACCTAGAGAGAAACACACACACACCCACACACACACACACACACACACACACACACACACACACACACACACACACACACACTAGCGCATTTACTAGAAGTGCTTTGTTTATTCCTTGCCTCACTATATTGTAGAGTTTTTGAGCAATCAATTTTAAATGTTTTTATATGCTCTCTGTGTCTCTCTCTCTGTCTCTCTCTCTCTCTCTCTCTCTCTGTTATTTTTTATTTTTACCTATTTCGGTTATCCAACATTATAGAAAGAGATTCACCATTATGGCATGTCTCTGCTCTTATCAGGGCAGGTGCATCAACCCCCCCACTCAGAGAATACTGTAAATGTGTGAATGTGTGTGCTCATACCGTGTGGGGTAGCAGAGTCTGTAAGACATCTCGAAGGGCCACTCGCAGCGAGCGCACATCGACAACGGCTGCCAGCTGCAGCAGAGCATCCTGTGGAAGGAGACACACATATGCCTTAGTTTCTGTTTGGCTTCTCATTTCAAATAAACATCGGGATTTCCAAGTCGTAGTCCTGTGCTGAAGTGCTCTCATTTTGTGTAACGTGCAAGTTTTATGTCGAAAGCTATGTTGACAATTGATCAAGAGAGAACCTTTCCCCCTTCCCCCGTTTCTTCCATTTCCGAGCAAAGAGTGAATGAATCTGAATGAAAGCTTCAGACATATGCAGGAGGTGACTATCTTGTACAATTTGGTGCGGTAAATTGCACAGGAGTTTACAGCACTGAAACAATTTGAGAAGTTTGTTTCAATTGAACTTCTTCAAGGCAAATGAAGCTGTAACACAACATGTTTCAACTGTGCCTTGAGAAGTTTTGCATCACTAGCCTCCGCAAACGTTAGCAAAAGCCTGGGTCACAACTACAATTCAGATGTTGTACAGACTGACCGCAGTGATATTTACCCACTTGGTGACATTTAGTTTTATCCTTTCCAGTTTTCATGCGGCAACATTTTAGCGGAAGGGCATCTCAGTGGGACATCGAAATCTGATCAAAGCATTGGGAAATAGTGGAAGAAATCTAAGATGCTTCAGTCACGGCAGCTTTCATGGTGAATATAAATAGGAAAGATAAGCGTCATGTTCAAAATATTAACTGTGAGTGTCAGATCATGTTCAGCCTGTCCTGATAAATCTGGTCGTCACACAGAACATCTCGCTTCTCTCTGGAATGCCTGCAAGACCTCTACCAAGGTTGTCCAACTTTAAAAACAAGCCTGCCCTCCCCCCATCCGCAACCCATTTTATCTTCTTGTCTGCCACTCATTCACACTCAGAATTGTGATCTCTGATAGGGAGGGTGTGCCAAAGTGTGAAGGATGCGAACAACTCAGCTGCTGCCCACAATTATCGGGTCACCGTGTGTGTGGGCGTGGGTGTGGGAGCGCGCACACCACCAGTGGAGATATGCCTTGGTAAATGTCAAACTCTGGCTTATGACCTTTCACAATCATTATTTCTCCCAATAAACCCCAACACATCTATTATATCAACGCTCCTTCAATCTGCTTGTCACATCTCATCAGTTCCACACTATTTTTCGATCTGTCAAATAAATCAATAGGGCATTTCATTTTTGCAGGATTTATAGCATTTTAATGTCATACCACGACCCATTTTCACACCATATGGCACAAAATAGCCCAGTAAGTCCCAAGACATGTGAAAAATAAAAATAGAACAACAAAATAAGATAAATATAAATACAGGATATAGACATGGGGGGATGCTTATTCACGATTTAAATGTGTGAAAGATGCAATGCAGCAAAGGTGTGGGGGATGAAGCAGAATGAAAATTTAAGTGGCTTGAATTGCACATGGTATTTACAAGGTCATTTTGTACTCGCTCCGTCACCCAAAAAATAAAAAATAATGTTCAAGGATAAAGTTTTCGCCCTGCTGTGATGAATAGCCATAGGAAGTGAGGGGGTATTGATGTCAGGGCTACAGAGCATTGTTTGAGTTTAACAGGCTAACAGCTTGCGGAAAGAACTGCTCCAGATGCTTCGTAACCTGCCGCCTGAGGGGACGGGATGGAAGAGGGTGTGCGTGGGGTGTTTTGGGTCCTTGTTGATGCAGAGAGCCCTCTTTCAGCATCTGCTAGCCAACATTTCTGTGGTTGTGGGGAGGCTGTTCCCCACAATCTTCTGAGCAGTCTTTTCAGCTTCCTTTCTGCAGCCGTGCAGTTCCTGTGCCACGCCGTGATGCTGGCGTTGAGCACGCTCTCTACCGCACTAGAAGGTCCTCAAGTCACAGCTCCAGAAGCTTCCAGAGTAAGTGGAGACATTGGTGAGTCTTCTTCAGTAGACAGGCTCAAGGTGACGCCCTCCAAAAGGTGGATCCCAAGGTACTCTTTATCTGGATACCACTTCCACTGCTGCTCCTTCATTGCGCAGGGGACGAGGGGACAGATGAAGCGTATTCCTTCTGGTCCGTTACTGCTTCCTGAGTAGCTGCTTCCCTAAACATTTGCCATTTTGTGCACTGATAACATTCTTGAAGCGGCGAGGCACCATCATTGGGCCATATCTTATTGCTCCTGACTATGGGCTTGGACCCCAGTCAATAGACCCCATTGGTCTATAGGCTGGGGCCGGGAATTTAGAGATGTGGTTGTAAAAGCCAAGTTGGGTTCAGGGGAGGACTGTGTCCAGCATGTACAAGACCAGTAAATGAGGCTCTTTAGTGCGTTTCAGAGGTCAGGTGACTCAAATTTTTTGTGTCAACAGCTAGTCACCTGCTATCGCCAGCTCTTGGCAAGCAAGATGCTAGCCCTGCTTGCCGGCTGTGGTTCAGTTCATAGCAGGGGTTGCCCATTGACCAAAGGTCTGTTTGAATCTTAGGTGTTTCACTTTGCTTTTGCTGCTGCTCTTGCGGAAGAAAAGACTAGCAGCAAAATACAATAAAACCATGCATTTCTATGCTGTTTATTGACATTCTAGTGAAAACTCAGTAGCGCGTCCATCAATTTTACATGGTTAACGCAACACATGGCCAGATAAAATGCCTTTCTCATGCCTGCTTGGATTGTAGCGAGCTAATATTGTCATGGAACTCCTGTCGTGTCTTGATAACATTAGCATTAGCATGAGCTCTTGATGCTTTGTAAAAATGAGTGCTTTAAAACAGACTGCGAGGCAATTATTGGCCAGCATCTATTAGTCAAATGCTCTATTTCTTCGGAGCAATGGCTCCATCTAAGTCCACCAACCTTTGTTGATGTAGTAACATTGTCCACCCCTGCATTTCTTTTCCAACCGGGGATCATGGTCCACTTGAAACAGCCATAGACCATCAATCCAGACGGAATGTCATTTAGGCACGTTTACATCAAATGCCATTAAAGCACAGAACAATTCCTCATCTAACTGGAAACACCCAACCTCAGGCGAAGTAAGTCCATTTCCTAGTCCAGTGAGCAAACATTGGTTTGGAAGGGAAGAGTGATGGTATCAATGGCTTGCTAGCCTCTAGCCGAGCTAGCCACCCGGCACGTTTATCCTGCTTTTGTTGCCACGAGCAACGCTTTCTGCTGCCAGCCAATCACAGCCCGCCAGTGTTGTGTACCGTTTGTTTCGTAGGAGATGCAGTCTCTCAAAAGTTTTCAACAGTAGATTAAATAGTTGTCAGTGAACTCTCTCTAAATTGGCATAGTTCAGGCAAGCTATACTTCACATGCATTCTTTGTGTTGTTGTGGGCTGTGAAGTCATTGTGTAGTGCCTTGATCCTGGGAGCTCGAGAAGCCGTTGCACTACGACTAACATCTTGATTATGCAATTTTTACCTGAAGAACCATGTGCCTTTATTTTGTGTTGGGATTTTAATAAAGTGTCCAGGAGATCCGTGACACACTTTACATGGAGGACACGGTCATGTGCACATTAGTGCAAACGAATGTGTCAGTTTTCAAAATGCGAATGGAAAAAGAGACATCATTTCATTATGCTAACAAGATTATTTTCTTCCCAATGCCATTTCATTTTGCATTAATTTGGGCAAAGCTTTTAACGGAATTGAAAATGGCATGACAACACTTGGATCCCCTGCTAACATGATTATGATAATGGTGTATTGGCATTATTGTATTTGTTTACCATGTTATCTTTCAAATCAACAGGACTTCTTCACAATTTGCTTCTGCATCATGCAAACCCCCAAATCTAAATGTTAAACTAATCAAGGCCATACTAACATATGAAGTGGGTTGTTGCCTTTGTCTTTTACTTCCTATGAAATCGCCTCATGCCATCATAGTTTTCCTTCTATGTCTCCTCTCATCTCCTACTTGTCTATTTATTTGTTTTGTTTTTTTAATCACTGGCATTTCTCATCTCACTGAGAGCTCTGACATTTTGGATGGGATCTGTAATGAGCACAACTAAAGAGATCCCTCTTATCAGGATTTTATATCCCCCTCTTACTGCCCACAAATCTCCCAACACCGCCACCCTCATACACGCTGAGTATTATTTGTAAATGTACTATCCGTAAATCAGGACAGTAGAAACAATGTACAGAATATTCTGCAGAAAAAGATTCTGTTTGACAAATATTCGCTGAATATCCCATAATGAAAAGACAAAACCAGCACTTTAAACTGTTTACAAAAAATGTCACAACATCAATACAGTGAAACTCCTCTACAACGAAATCATGTTTGCAGCAAGAAATTTTTCACAACAGGGGGTTTTTCACTGTAGCAAATTTGATCTCAGATGTAAGCAAACACCCACC